TGTTCCCATTTACAACTGCACAAAAGAATTCATAACATCAAATATAACGATTATACCACACATGTGAACAAATTAACACGTAAAATATTGATGGAGATGAATGTGAAAATTTCCAAATTATCGTGATATTGTAAAAGATGATCATAAGGTGTTTCCACTATGTCATCAAACTTTTTATAATAGATTATAGTTCTAAACTACAATATGTCCATTAAGATACTCTAATCATTTATGAAACAAAAAAATCAACTCACATATGACAAGAAGCCCAAGAACAAAGAACGAAAAAAAATTTGCTTATTCCTTAACATCTTCATATGAGCGGACTTTCAAGAATTGGTGAAGTGCATATATTTATACTAACTTTACTAGAAGTGAGTGCAATGTATACTCAACTCAAATGAGCGTTTTGTAAATTATTATTCTAACTAAGTATCCATCATAATTACAACATATTTATAGTCTTATTAAATTCATATGTTTCTGTTTATTTGTAGTAATTAAGTTATTTTTTGAAAATTTATTTTATTTTTGATTTCAAATTTTAACTTTCTTTTCAAGTAGTTTATGAATATGAAAGGAACAATGTCGCTAATATCCAATAAACCATTTCATAAGTACTTATTTTGTCTTCTTTTTTTCTTTTTAATATATTAGAGGATAACAATGTATGTAAATAATTTAAAATAGGTAACCGTAATACGTATCTATTTGAAAATGTTATGGACATACTCGGGGATGAGATTTCTTGGATTTTTAAAGGTTTTAGATTTACAAAAGAAAACTCGAATAAAAAATAAACTAGGTTCGAATGTACAAGCTCTTAAATTTTATTTATTAAAAAAAACACATAATACGAAATCTACTAGTACCTTTTGCCTTATTTGAGCTTTTAGATGCATCTTTTCATTTAATTCTACGCCTTTAATAGCGAAGATATATGTTTTCTGATCACTTCTATAAAACAAAATTGTATAGTTTCTTGATTATGTCTTCCAAATACATGACCTCAAGGCACATAAACACATGTACAAGTTAGGAAAATATAATAGAAATATTAGTAGCTTATCACTTTATTGTTGTATTGGTTTTTGTAGTTTTATATAAAAAATTTACAATATTGGGAGATACATTTATCTTTCATTGTTTTTTTTCCTTTTTTATAATATGATAGATTTCAAATTGTTTTCTTCAGCATCCATATTTTTTCTATAAATTTTATATCGGTTTTAATTTTACTTATTAATTGTTACATAAATTAATTTAACTTTAATCATTATATCACTGAATTTGTTCGTAAGTCTTATTAAAAAAAAAAAATTTTATCTATTATTCAAAACTTCAATTACATATTTTAAGAAACAAATATTATTTGGTACGAAACCAGAGTTATGTGCAATTCAGAACATATGAATTCATTTTTTTGACATATCGTAAGCACAAAACCGTTTAATTTTATTTTGAAAATGACTAACTTACATATAAAAAATCCATCTACTCATATTTTAAGAACATATAGTATTACACAAACTAAGGCCTCGAATGCATATATTCATATTTGGACCAATACAACAATAGCAAGCTCCATCTGTTCCTTTACAATGTGATGATGGAAGTGGTACACAGACACCTCTTAGCTTGGCATCATGATGAGGATTATCACTCCATAGTAGACGGTGGTGGGCTTGCATCTCCCAAAATAGTCTTTATTAAGGTAGTTTTAAAAGCTTTATCACCAATGTTGTTCCCATTCACAACTGCACAAAAGAATTCATAAAATCAAATATAACGATTATACCACACATGTGAACAAATTAACACGTAAAATATTGATGGAGATGAATGTGAAAATTTCCAAATTATCATGATATTGTAATAGATGATCATAAGGTGTTTCCACTATGTCATCAAACTTTTTATAATAGATTATAGTTCTAAACTACAATATGTCCATTAAGATACTCTAATCATTTATGAAACAAAAAAATCAACTCACATATGACAAGAAGCCCAAGAACAAAGAACGAAAATAAAATTTGCTTATTCCTTAACATCTTCATATGAGCGGACCTTTCAAGAATTGGTGGTGAAGTGCATATATTTATACTAACTTATACTAGAAGTGAGTACAATATATACTCAACTCAAATGAGCGTTTTGTAAATTATTATTCTAACTAAGTATCCATCATAATTACAACATATTTATAGTCTTATTAAATTCATATGTTTCTGTTTATTTGTAGTAATTAAGTTATTTTTTGAAAATTTATTTTATTTTTATTTCAAATTTTAACTTTCTTTTCAAGTAGTTTATGAATATGAAAGGAACAATGTCGCTAAGATAATCTTTTTTTTCTTTTAATATATTAGAGGATAACAATGTATGTAAATAATTTAAAATAGGTAACCGTAATACGTATCTATTTGAAAATGTTATGGACATACTCGGGGATGAGATTTCTTGGATTTTTAAAGGTTTTAGATTTACAAAAGAAAACTCGAATAAAAAATAAACTAGGTTCGAATGTACAAGCTCTTAAATTTTATATTAAATAAAAAACACATAATACGAAATCTACTAGAAGTACCTTTTGCCTTATTTGAGCTTTTAGATGCATCTTTTCATTTAATTCTACGCCTTTAATAGCGAAGATATATGTTTTCTGATCACTTCTATAAAACAAAATTTTATAGTTTCTTGATTATGTCTTCCAAATACATGACCTCAAGGCACATAAACACATGTACAAGTTAGGAAAATATAATAGAAATATTAGTAGCTTATCACTTTATTGTTGTATTGGTTTTTGTAGTTTTATATAAAAAATTTACAATATTGGGAGATACATTTATCTTTCATTGTTTTGTATTTTGTTCCTTTTTTATAATATGATAGATTTCAAATTGTTTTCTTCAGCATCCATATATTTTTTCTATAAACTTTATATCGGTTTTTAATTTTACTTATTAATTGTTACATAAATTAATTTAACTTTAATCATTATATCACTGAATTTGTTCGTAAGTCTTATTAGAAAAAAAATTAAATATTTATCTATTATTCAAAACTTCAATTACATATTTTAAGAAAACAAATATTATTTGGTACGAAACCAGAGTTATGTGCAATTCAGAACATATGAATTCATTTTTTTGACATATCGTAAGCACAAAACCGTTTAATTTTATTTTGAAAATGACTAACTTACATATAAAAAATCTATCTACTCATATTTTAAGAACATATAGTATTACACAAACTAAGGCCTCGTATGCATATATTCATATTTGGACCAATACAACAATAGCAAGCTCCATCTGTTCCTTTACAATGTGATGATGGAAGTGGTACACAGACACCTCTTAGCTTGGCATCATGATGAGGATTATCATACTCCATAGTAGACGGTTGTGGGCTTGCATCCCCCAATATAGTCTTTATTAAGGTAGTTTTGAAAGCTTTATCACCAATGTTGTTCCCATTTACAACAGCACAAAAGAATTCATAACATCAAATATAACGATTATACCACACATGTGAAATAATTAACACGTAAAATATTGATGGAGATGAATGTGAAAATTTCCAAATTATCGTGATATTGTAAAAGATGATCATAAGCTGTTTCCACTATGTCATCAAACTTTTTATAATAGATTATAGTTCTAAACTACAATATGTCCATTAAGATACTCTAATCATTTATGAAATTAAAAATCAACTCACATATGACAAGAAGGCCAAGAACAAAGAACGAAAAGAAAATTTGCTTATTCCTTAACATCTTCATATGAGCGGACATTTCAAGAATCGGTGAAGTGAATATATATTTATACTAACTTTACTAGAAGTGAGTGCAATGTATACTCAACTCAAATGAGCGTTTTGTAAATTATTATTCTAACTAAGTATCCATCATAATTACAACATATTTATAGTCTTATTAATTTAATATGTTTCTGTTTATTTGAAAGTAATTAAGTTATTTTTTGAAAATTTATTTTATTTTTGATTTTAAATTTTAACTTTCTTTTCAAGTAGTTTATGAATATGAAAGGAACAATGTCGCTAAGATAAAATAAACCATTTCATAAGTACTTATTTTGTCTTCTTTTTTTCTTTTTAATATATTAGAGGATAACAATGTATGTAAATAATTTAAAATAGGTCACTGTAATACGTATCTATTTGAAAATGTTATGGACATACTCGGGGATGAGATTTCTTGGATTTTTAAGGGTTTTAGATTTACAAAAGAAAACTCGAATAAAAAATAAACTAGGTTCGAATGTACAAGCTTTTAAATTTTATTTTAAATAAAAAACACATAATACGAAATCTACTAGTACCTTTTGCCTTATCTGAGCTTTTAGATGCATCTTTTCATTTAATTCTACGCCGTTAATAGCGAAGATATATGTTTTCTGATCACTTCTATAAAACCAAGTTTTATAGTTTCTTGATTATGTCTTCCAAATACATGTCCTCAAGGCACATAAACACATGTACAAGTTAGGAAAATATAATAGAAATATTAGTAGCTTATCACTTTATTGTTGTATTGGTTTATGTAGTTTTATATAAAAAATTTACAATATTGGGAGATACATTTATCTTTCATTGTTTTGTATTTTGTTCCTTTTTTATAATATGATAGATTTCAAATTGTTTTCTTCAGCATCCATATATTTTTCTATAAATTTTATATCGGTTTTTAATTTTACTTATTAATTGTTACATAAATTAATTTAACTTTAATCATTATATCACTGAATTTGTTCGTAAGTCTTATTAGAAAAAAAATTAAATATTTATCTATTATTCAAAAACTTCAATTACATATTTTAAGAAAACAAATATTATTCGGTACGAAATAAGAGTTATGTACAATTCAGAACATATGAATTCATTTTTTTTGACATATCGTAAGCACAAAACCGTTTAATTTTATTTTGAAAATGACTAACTTACATATAAAAAATCTATCTACTAATATTTTAAGAACATATAGTATTACACAAACTAAGGCCTCGTATGCATATATTCATATTTGGACCAATACAACAATAGCAAGCTCCATCTGTTCCTTTACAATGTGATGATGGAAGTGGTACACAGACACCTCTTAGCTTGGCATCATGATGAGGATTATCATACTCCATAGTAGACGGTTGTGGGCTTGCATCTCCCAATATAGTCTTTATTAGGGTAGTTTTAAAAGCTTTATCACCAATCTTGTTCCCATTTACAACTGCACAAAAGAATTCATAACATCAAATATAACGATTATATCACACATGTGAAATAATTAACACGTAAAATATTGATGGAGATGAATGTGAAAATTTCCAAATTATCGTGATATTGTAAAAGATGATCATAAGGTGTTTCCACTATGTCATCAAACTTTTTATAATAGATTATAGTTCTAAACTACAATATGTCCATTAAGATACTGTAATCATTTATGAAATGAAAAATCAACTCACATATGACAAGAAGGCCAAGAACAAAGAACCAAAAGAAAATTTGCTTATTCCTTAACATCTTCATATGAGCGGACATTTCAAGAATTGGTGAAGTGAATATATTTATACTAACTTTACTAGAAGTGAGTGCAATGTATACTCAACTCAAATGAGAGTTTTGTAAATTATTATTCTAACTAAGTATCCATCATAATTACAACATATTTATAGTCTTATTAAATTCATATGTTTCTGTTTATTTGATAGTAATTAAGTTATTTTTTGAAAATTGATTTTATTTTCTCTTTTAAATTTTAACTTTCTTTTCAAGTAGTTTATGAATGTGAAAGGAACAATGTCGCTAAGATAATCTTTTTTTCTTTTTAATATATTAGAGGATAACAATGTATGTAAATTATTTAAAATAGGTCACTGTAATACTTATCTATTTGAAAATGTTATGGACATACTCGGGGATGAGATTTCTTGGATTTTTAAAGGTTTTAGATTTACAAAAGAAAACTCGAATAAAAAATAAACGAGGTTCGAATGTACAAGCTCTTAAATTTTATTTTAAATAAAAAACACATAATACGAAATCTACTAGAAGTACCTTTTGGCTTATCTGAGCTTTTAGATGCATCTTTTCATTTAATTTTACGCCATTAACAGCGAAGATATATGCTTTCTGATCACTTCTATAAAACAAAATTTTATAGTTTCTTGATTACGTCTTCCAAATACATGTCCTCAAGGCACAAAAACACATGTACAAGTTAGGAAAATATAATAGAAATATTAGTAGCTTATCACTTTATTGTTTTATTGGTTTATGTAGTTTTATAAAAAAAATTTACAATATTGGGAGATACATTTATCTTTCATTGTTTTGTATTTTGTTCCTTTTTTATAATATGATAGATTTCAAATTGTTTTCTTCAGCATCCATATATTTTTCTATAAATTTTATATCGGTTTTTAATTTTACTTATTAATTGTTACATAAATTAATTTAACTTTAATCATTATATCACTGAATTTGTTCGTAAGTCTTATTAGAAAAATAATTAAATATTTGTCTATTATTCAAAAATTCAATTACATATTTTAAGAAAACAAATATTATTCGGTACGAAATAAGAGTTATGTGCAATTCAGAACATATGAATTCAATTTTTTTTGACATATCGTAAGCACAAAACCGTTTAATTTTATTTTGAAAATGACTAACTTACATATAAAAAATCTATCTACTCATATTTTAAGAACATATAGTATTACACAAACTAAGGCCTCGTATGCATATATTCATATTTAGACCGATACAACAATAGCAAGCTCCATCTGTTCCTTTACAATGTGATGATGGAAGTGGTACACAGACACCTCTTAGCTTGGCATCATGATGAGGATTATCATACTCCATAGTAGACGATTGTGGGCTTGCATCTCCCAATATAGTCTTTATTAAGGTAGTTTTAAAAGCTTTATCACCAATGTTGTTCCCATTTACAACTGCACAAAAGAATTCATAACATCAAATATAACGATTATACCACACATGTGAAATAATTAACACGTAAAATATTGATGGAGATGAATGTGAAAATTTCCAAATTATCGTGATATTGTAAAAGATTATCATAAGCTGTTTCCACTATGTCATCAAACTTTTTATAATAGATTATAGTTCTAAACTACAACATGTCCATTAAGATACTCTAATCATTTATGAAATTAAAAATCAACTCACATATGACAAGAAGGCCAAGAACAAAGAACCAAAAGAAAATTTGCTTAAATCCTTAACATTATCATATGAGCGGACATTTCTAGAATTGGTGAAGTGAATATATATTTATATTAACTTTACTAGAAGTGAGTGCAATGTATAGTCAACTCAAATGAGAGTTTTGTAAATTATTATTCTAACTAAGTATCCATCATAATTACAACATATTTATAGTCTTATTAAATTCATATGTTTCTCATAGTAATTAAGTTATTTTTTGAAAATTTATTTTATTTTTGATTTCAAATTTTAACTTTCTTTTCAAGTAGTTTATGAATATGAAAGGAACAATGTCGCTAATATCCAATAAACCATTTCATAAGTACTTATTTTGTCTTCTTTTTTTCTTTTTAATATATTAGAGGATAACAATGTATATATGCATACTTTAAGAAAAATATTTAAGAACAATATAGTAATTGAATTTTTGAATTTTTGATTCCAAATTTTAACTTTTTTTGTTTTCTTAAAATATGTAATTGAATTTTTGAATAATAGATAAATATTTAATTATTTTTCTAATAAGACTTACGAACAATATAGTCTTTATTAAGGTAGTTTTAAAAGCTTTGTCACCAATGTTGTTCCCATTTACAACTGCACAAAAGAATTCATAACATCAAATATAGCGATTATACTACACATGTGAAATAATTAACACGTAAAATATTGATGGAGATGAATGTGAAAATTTCCAAATTATCGTGATATTGTAAAAGATGATCATAAGCTGTTTGCAATATGTCATCAAACTTTTTATAATAGATTATAGTTCTAAACTACAATATGTCCATTAATATACTCTAATAAGCTGTTTCTAATAAGCTGTTTCCAATATGTCATCAAACTTTTTATAATAGATTATCGTGATATTTTATAGTTTCTTGATTATGTCTTCCAAATACATGTCCTCAAGGCACATAAACACATGTACAAGTTAGGAAAATATAATAGAAATATTAGTAGCTTATCACTTTATTGTTGTATTGGTTTATGTAGTTTTATATAAAAAATTTACAATATTGGGAGATACATTTATCTTTCATTGTTTTGTATTTTGTTCCTTTTTTATAATATGATAGATTTCAAATTGTTTTCTTCAGCATCCATATATTTTTCTATAAATTTTATATCGGTTTTTAATTTTACTTATTAATTGTTACGTAAATTAATTTAACTTTAATCATTATATCACTCAATTTGTTCGTAAGTCTTATTAAAAAAATTAAATATTTATCTATTATTCAAAACTTCAATTACATATTTTAAGAAAACAAATATTATTCGGTACGAAATAAGAGTTATGGGCAATTCAGAACATATGAATTCAACTTTTTTTTAACATAGCGTAAGCACAAAACCGATTAATTTTATTTTGAAAATGACTAACTTACATATAAAAAATCTATCTACTCATATTTTAAGAACATATAGTATTACACAAACTAAGGCCTCGTATGCATATATTCATATTTGGACCAATACAACAATAGCAAGCTCCATCTGTTCCTTTACAATGTGATGATGGAAGTGGTACACAGAAACCTCTTAGCTTGGCATCATGATGAGGATTATCATACTCCATAGTAGACGGTTGTGGGCTTGCATCTCCCAATATAGTCTTTATTAAGGTAGTTTTAAAAGCTTTATCACCAATGTTGTTCCCATTTACAACTGCACAAAAGAATTCATAACATCAAATATAACAAATATACCACACATGTAAACAAATTAACACGTAAAATATTGATGGAGATGAATGTGAAAATTTCCAAATTATCGTGATATTGTAAAAGATGATCATAAGGTGTTTCCACTATGTCATCAAACTTTTTATAATAGATAATACTTCTAAACTACAATATGTCCATTAAGATACTGTAATCATTTATGAAATGAAAAATCAACTCACATATGACAAGAATGCCAAGAACAAAGAACGAAAAGAAAATTTGCTTATTCCTTATCATCTTCATATGAGCGGACATTTGAAGAATTGGTGAAGTGAATATATTTATACTAACTTTACTAGAAGTGAGTGCAATGTATACTCAACTCAAATGAGCGTTTTGTAAATTATTATTCTAACTAAGTATCCATCATAATTACAACATATTTATAGTCTTATTAAATTCATATGTTTCTGTTTATTTGATAGTAATTAAGTTGTTTTTTGAAAAATGATTTTATTTTTGCTTTTAAATTTTAACTCTTTTTTCAAGTAGTTTGTGAATGTTAAAGGTACGATGTCGCTAAGATGCAATAAATCATTTCATAATTACTCATTTTGTCCTCTTTTTTTCGTTTTAATATATTAAAGGATAACGATGTATGTAAATTTTTTAAAATAGGTCACTGTAATACGTATCTATTTCAAAATGTTATGGACGTATTCGGGGATGAGATTTCTTGGATTTTAGAAGGTTCTAGATTTACAAAAGAAAACGCGAATTAAAAAATAACCTAGGTTCGAATGTACAAGCTCTTAAATTTTATTTTAAATAAAAAACACATAATCTGAAATCTACTAGAAGTATCTTTTGCCATATCCGAGCTTTTTTAATTCAACGCCTTTAGTAGCTATGATATATGTTTTCTGAACACTTCTACAAAACTAAATTTCATAGTTTCTTGGTTATGTCTGCCAAATACATGTCCTCAAGGCACATACACATGTACATGTTCGGAAAATATAATAGAAATATTAGTAGCTTATCATTTTATTGTTGTATTGGTTTATGTAGTTTTAATTAAAATTTACAATATTAGAGAATACATTTATCTTTCACTGTTTTGTATTTTATTCCTTTTTTATAATATGATAGCTTTCAAATTGTTTTCTTCAGCATCCATATATTTTTCTATAAAATTTATATCAGTTTTTAATTTTACTTATTAATTGTTATATAAATTAATTTAACTTTAATCATTATATCGTTGAATTTGTTCGTAAGTCTTAATAAAAAAATTGAAATATTTATCTATTATTCAAAAACTTTAATTACATATTTTAAGAAAACAAATATTATTCGGTAGTTCTAAACTACAGTATGTCCATTTAGATTCTCTAATCATTTATGAAATGAAAAATCAACTCAAATATGACAAGAAGACTAAGAACAAAGAACGAAAACAAGAATTGATTATTCCTTAACATCTTCATACTAGAGGACATTTCAGGAATTGGTGAAGTGAATATATTTATAGTAACTTTACTAGAAGTAAGTGCAATGTATACTCAACTGAAATGAGTGTTTTGTAAATTATTATTCTAACTAAGTATCCTTTATAATTACAACATATTTATGGTCTAATTAAATTCATATGTTTCTGTTTATTTGATAATAATTTAGTTATTTTATGAAAAATTATTTTATTTTTGCTTTTAAATTATAGCTTTCTTTTCAAGTAGTTTATGAATGTGAAAGGTACGATGTCGCTAAGATCCAATAAATCATTTCATAAGTACTTATTTTGACTTCTTTTTTTTTCGTTTTAATCTATTAGAGGATAACAATCTATGTAAATTATTTAAAATAGGTCACTATAATACTATTTCAAAATGTTATGGACGTGCTCGGGGATGAGATTTCTTGGATTTTAGAAGGTTTTATATTTAAAAAAGAAAACTCGAATTAAAAAAATAAATTAGGTTCCATTGTACAAGCTCTTAAATTTTATTTTAAATAAAATACACATAATCTGAAATCTACTAGAAATATCTTTTGCCTTATCCGAGCTTTTAGATGTATGTTTTCTTTTAATTCTACGCCTTTAATAGCTAAGATATATGTTTTCTGAACACTTCTATAAAACTAAATTTTATCGTTTCTTGATTATTTCTGCCAAATGCATATCCTCAAGGCACATACACACATGTACATGTTCGGAAAATATAATAGAAATATTAGTAGGTTATCGTTTTATAGTTGTATTGGTTTATGTAGTTTTAAATAAAATTTACAACATTTGGAGATACATTTATCTTTCATTGTTTTGTATTTTTTTCCTTTTTTGATAATATGATAGCTTTCAAAAAAAAAATGCTTCAGCATCCATATATTTTTCTATAAATTTTATTTCAGTTTTTAATTTTACTTATTAATTCTAAAAAATTTTCTTACAGTGGCCACTTCCTCCTCTAAGGGAGTGTAAAGGGTCGGTAAGGTCATCTTGCTTTGTGTGCTGGTTTGAAATTTCTCCCGAAGGATAAGGTTCGCTAAGGATCTCTATGGCGTCTTCATCCTCGTCTGACTCCTTATCATAATTCTCCTCCTCGTAGGCCATCTCTTGGTATTCTTCAGGACCCACTTCTGGGTTTTCCTCTTGAACCTCTTTTGGCTCCTCCCCGATCCATTCATCGGCTACCAGGGCATGATAGTGGGGGTCTTTGTGATGAAATTCAGCCATGTCGTATGTGCGAGAATAGAGGTACGTAGAAGATTTAAGTGTGTGTGTATAGGGGGGGGGGTGTTATACGACATCCTAGAATACTACTATAACATTTTTAAACTTTATGTTTGGTTCTAGTATTCCTTTGTATATAGGGTTGGTAAGTTTTAGACTTGTTGCAACACCATTATCACTCCCAAACACATGTTGGTCGTATCTCAAATAAATATAGTTGATCAGGCTATATTTATCCCAGATATGATTACATAACTATCTTGGTTTGACTGTAGTATCCAACATTTAAATACTTTTGTTTTGTTTTTTATTATGACATTGTTCTAGTATATATACTTTTATAAAATACTTATATTCTAAAGTATACTTTTAGTCAGAGTGTTTTAGTCCCATTGTATTTATAGTTGTATATCTTGTACGGTTTGATATACTAGTTCACTATAAACAATGCTCTGATACCAATCTGTCACACCCCCAAACTAGAACGGCGGAAACGTCTGGGGGCGGATGGAGTGACTTCATGTACAGTATCATATCAATTGAATAGTAATGAAACATAGCAACACAAACATTCATACATTTAGATTTCAAGTATTACATTGTTTACAAGCACAATTATCTCGAAAGTCTAATACAAATAACTGAAAAGCAGGAAAAACATGAAATGACGACGCCGACCCTCAAGAGGGGTTGAGTACCTGCCTGCTAGATCCCTGAGAATACAAGTCGTTTTGAAAAGAGTCAACTAAAAAGTTGGTGAGTTCATAAGCATTTTTGTATAAAATAGCTTTGCATTTTTTTAGAATAATTCTCGTAGTACTTTCAGAAAATATGATATTTTCTAAATAAAAGAGTTAGTAAGCCTCGTTCTAAAAACCATGAATATATGCATGTGTGTCCTTTGTTTTCTTTTGTTATACTTGTAAAGAGTGTGTTCGTAGAAAATCCAATATTTTCATTAATATGAACTGAAATTGAAAGTAATTCCTTGGTATCTTTTCCTTGAAAGTAATAATATATAGTTCCAGAAAATGCAGTATTTTCCTTAAAGATGAACTGTGGTCTTAAACCATAAGACCACGATGGCAGTGAGTATCATACAGAAAATAGTTTATAGTTTCATTTCTTTCAATAAAACCAATGAAGTATAAGCTTCCTGTAAACCAAAATCATTTTCGTTAATCCCTACGTGAGTCGTTTCAACCATACTAATGCGACTAAGGCCCCTGTCTTGACGTTCTTCAGGCATCGGTTAATAAGATATTTGTCACCCTAGACTGGCCCATCTAGCTGTAGCGAACAGCTCAGGTGTGGGGGTGTCAACCCCGTATAGATCTATACATAATTACCCCGCTCTCCCTCCAGGAGACTCTGGTTATAACTACAGGACTTCCGATGTACGCTAGGTAGGTACGACGAAGGAGCCTCACAAGAGCATTAACAGATTTACATGAACTATGACTCCTTTTTACTTGTAAAACAGGATAGTTATACCTTTAAATAATTATACGTATCTACGAAAGATGTGGTTTGTAACTTCCAAACTATACCAATTATTGTTTATTTTGTTGGTCTGAAACTATTTATGCAATCTTTTATAAAAATATAAAGGTGTATTTCAGCATGAAAATATGAAGTCAAAACATAGTATTTAGGTATTAAAACCCACTAGATTAGTAAATGACTATACTGTACCAAAGTTTACTAGTAAAGCTATGTTTTAATAAAGGTTCCCAAAATCCATGTAGTTTACAGATCTTAACTTTCCTTATGATTTTATAACATTGATCATGTTAGTTCTGCTAAAGTATATATATATATATATATATATATATATATATATATATATATATATATATATATATATACCAAAACTAGAGTATACCATAACTTGTACAAATAATAATTTATCCCTAGCATAAAGATGAAAAACAACTTGTAGTTATTTGTGGAACAAACAAAGTTTGATGTGTATCCCCTCTCTCCCCCCCCCCTTAAAACATACAAAAAGCTTGAAAATATGGGAGTATGAACTCACCTTGGGTTGGTTAATGAGTTGTTTGGAGTGATGGAGTGAAGATCTCAAGCCTAAACTCTTGGATGAGTTGATGAACTTTCTCGGAAGGAATGCTATCCTAAGAGTTTAACATATAATGGTATGTGGGTAAATATAATGAAAATAACATAAATATGTATAGGAACACTTAGTGGATCACGAAATGCTTACCAAAATCTAAGAAAATGCTTGAAGAATCAAGCCTCTTTGATGCTTGGAACTTGACCCTTTTGGGAGTAAATGGAGTTTCACAGTGAGTGGGAGAAGAGTTTGTGATATGTGAGGGAGTGTTTTCGTTCAAAATAAAAGAGTGGAAGTGATAAGAGGTGTGCTTGGTAATCTGGTGGGTTAAAGCATGGATACTTAGTGGACAATTCGTGGTTAACTGTGATTACCTAGGAAATGAGCGAAATCACATCCTAAAGTCAACTATTATTGTCTTTTTCCTTCCCTAAACCGTAAACCCCTTAAGATATGAAGTTGTTTTCATTTAGGTGTGGTCCATTGGAGGGTTTACGGCTCCTA